AGTCAAGACACATGATTCTCCCCCGCCCGCCCGTCCGTCCGTCCGTCTGGCGGCGGCTCGCGGTGTCGCGCGGTGTTCCGTGGTGTCCCGTGGTGTCCCGTAGTGTCCCGTTGAGTGAGATCGATAGTGAGATTGATACTGAGATCGATAGTGAAATCGATAGTGAGATCGATAGTGAGATCGATACTGAGATCGATGTGGTGCCCCGAGGTGTCCCGTTGAGTTCCGTGGTGTCCCAAAAAAGTAAGATCGACAGTGAGATCGAAAGTGAGATCGACAGGTGTCCCGTGGTGTTCCGTGGTGTCCCGTGGTGTCCCGTTGAGTGAGATCGGTAGTGAGATCGATAGTGAGATCGATACTGAGATCGATGTGGTGCCTTGAGGTGTCCCGTGGTGTCCCGTGGTGTCCCAAAAAAGTAAGATCGATAGTAAGATCGATAGTGAGATCGACAGGTGCCCCGTGGTGTCCCGTGGTGTCCCGTTGAGTGAGATCGATAGTGAGATCGATACTGAGATCGATGTGGTGCCTCGAGGTGTCCCGTGGTGTCACGTGGTGTCCCGTTGAGTGAGATCGATAGTGAGATCGATACTGAGACCGATAGTGATTTCGAGAGGTGTCCCGCGGTGTCCCGTGGTGGCCCGTGGTGTCCCGTGGTGTCCTGTTGAGTGAGATCGATAGTGAGATCGATAGTGAGATCGAAAAGTGTCCCGTGGTGTCCCGTGGTGTCCCGTGGTGTCCCGTTGGGCGGGATCGATAGTGAGATGGATTGAGTCAGATGTTGGTTCCCCCCCCTCTCCCCCCCCACGACGTCCTTATCACCCGAAGGGTGGTCGTATATGCATTATTAGTATGATGATGCTGCTGGTGACGCTGCTGCTGATGATGCTGCTGCTGAGGATGCTGATGCTGATGCTGTTGATGATGATGCTGATGATCATTTCGCTGATGATGCTGATGACGATGACGATGCTGATACTGCTGATGACGATGGCGATGATGATGAGAGTGCTTATTATGCTGATTATGATGCTGATTCTGAAGATGGCGATGCTGGTGATGACGAGTAGTATGATGCTGATGATTCTGAAGGTGACGATGATGATACTGATGATGTTGATGATGGTGATGATACCGATGCTGATGCTGATGCTGATGCTGATGCTGATGATGCTGCTGATGATGATGACGATGATGAGGAGGATTCTTATCATTTCTTTCGCCCAACCAGAAACGATGCCCAGCTGAGTTGCCCTGATGAGGGATGTGGAGGTGGAGGAGGATGTAAGGTAGTTAGTAAAGGTTTTGTCCAGGCGCCATACCCAAAGATGGGAAGGATGTATTGGGAGTCGGAGGAGGAACATGAGGGGGTGGAGGGCGAGGATGAGGATGAGGAGGAGGAGGAGGAGATGGAGTAGGAGGAGGAGGAGGCGGATGAGGGATGGGGGAGGGGGTGGGAGGATGATGGTGAGGAGGAGGATGAGGAGGAGTAGGACGACTACGTGGATGATGAAACTGCTGCTGGTGATGATACTGATGCTGCTGCTGATGATGCTGCTGATGATGACGATGGTGATGCTGATGCTGCTGATGATCATGATGATGATGATGATGGGGATGATGGTGATGACGACGATGATGATGATGCTGATGAGGATGATGATGCTGATGATGATGATGCTGCTGCTGATGCTGATGCTGATGCTGTTGGGGATGATGATGCGGCTGATGATGCTGCTGATGCTGCTGCCGATGATGCTGATGACGATGCTGATGATGCTGATGATGCTGATGATGCTGCTGCTGATGCTGCTGATGATGATGATGCTGTTGCTGGTGCTGCTGCTGCTGATGCTGATGGTGATGCTGCTGATGATGCTGATGGTGATTATGATGCGTATGCTGATGATGTTGCTGATGATGCTGATGACGACGATGATGATGATGATGGTGATGATGATGCTGATGATGCTGATGATGCTGATGCCGATGATGCTGATGATGCTGATGAGGCTGATGCTGATGACGATGATGCTGCTGATGCTGATGATGCTGCTGGTGATGATGCTGATGATGCTGATGATGCTGCTGATGCTGCTGATGATGATGATGCTGTTGCTGGTGCTGCTGCTGCTGCTGATGCTGATGGTGATGCTGCTGATGACGCTGATGGTGATTATGATGCGTATGCTTATGATGTTGCTGATGATGCCGATGACGACGATGATGATGCTGATGGTGATGATGATGCTGATGATGCTGATGATGCTGATGCCGATGATGCTGATGATGCTGACGCTGATGATGCTGATGAGGCTGATGCTGATGACGATGATGCTGCTGATGCTGATGATGCTGCTGGTGATGATGCTGATGATGAGGATGATGATGGTGCTGCTGATGCTGATGATGATGCTGGCGATGCTGACGATGAGGATGATGGTGATGATGCTGATGCTGATGATGACGATGATGATGAGGATGCTGGTGTTGCTGATGATGAGGATGCTGCTGATGATGATGATGATGATGCTGATGCTGGTGCTGGTGATGAGGAGGAGGTGGATCATGGGGATGATGAGGAGGAGGAGGATGAGGAGGAGGATGAGGAGGAGGGGGAGGTGGATGAGGAGGCGGAGGAGGAGGAGAAGGAGGAGGAGGAGGAGGAGGAGAAGGAGGAGGAGGAGGACGAGGAGGATGATGAGGATGAGGATTAGGATGATGATGAGGATGAAGATGCTGATGATGCTGCTGATGGTGATGCTGATGCTGATGCTGCTGCTGATGGTGATGATGATGCTGATGCTGATGCTGATGGTGATGATGCTTATGTTGATGATGATGCTGATGATGATTCTGATGACGAAGTTGATGCTGATGTTGATGACGATGCTGCTGATGATAATGATATTGATGATGATGCTGATGCTGATGATGATGTTGATGATGCAGATGATGATTACGATGACGATGCTGATGATGCTGATGTCGATGCTGGTTATGATGAGGATGCTGCTGATGATGATGCTGATGATGGTGGTGGTGATGATGCTGATGATGATGCTGATTATGATGAGGATGCTGCTGATGATTATGAGGATGATGATGATGTTGATTATGATGATGGTGATGATGTTGAGGATGATGCTCATAATGATGATGCTGATGCTGATGATGATGATGATACTGCTAATGATGATGGTGATGATGAGGAGGAGGAGGAGGATGCGGAGGAGGATGAGGAGGTGGAGGAGTAGGTCTTCTCTTTTCTTCCCTTCCCTTCTCTTATCTTCTCTCCTCTCCTCTTCTCTTCTCTTCTCTTCTCTTCTCTTCTCTTCTCTTCTCTTCTCTTCTCTTCTCGTCGGAGCGCAAAGCATTGGTACCGATGGACAAATTGTGACATCTTGCGGAATCGTGAAACAGATGAGAGTTCATAGAAAAAAGAGGCCCCTGCGCATGCTCCAGAGCTGGAGCCAAAGTGTATTTTAGTGTTGGTGTTTGACAGGTAATAGTTGGCGTGCGCGCAGCAAGCAATATCCCGGCATCCTCGTCGTCCCTGTCAAAACATCAATGCAAAGTGGTCGCGGGGCGCCCGCGCATGCGCCAGATTTGGAGGCAAAGTGCATGATGAATGTTTTTTCTAAAAGGATGGTTGGGGGGGCTCGTTAGTCCGGGTTGGCTGCCGGTCGCCTGGGGGAGGGGGTGTTTAGTAATTGGGAACAGTGAAAAACCCTTCCCCGGCGAGGAAGAAGGGCGTTGGAAGAGGAAGCACCTTAAACCACTCACGCCCTGAAGGACTGGTGGGATTCCTCCTCCTCCTCTTCTTCCTTCTCCTCTCTCATCCTCTTCCGCTCCTGCTCCGCTCCCCTAATCGCCCAAACTTTCCTCCTCCTCCTCCTGCTTTGCCCCCTCGTCATCCTTATTCTTCTGACTCTGTCCCGCCTGGCCAAAGGTTCGACGTCGTGATCTTATCTTTTCGCAGCGTGGCTCCCCAGAGGTCGGGGCCCCTTCCCAGGACTGGCCTCTCATCCCAAGCCGTTTTTTGACGGTCCTGGGGCTTGGTAAGGCCCCCAGGCGACCGAGAACTGTCAAAAATCGTTCGTCGTGAGGAGGTCAGGGCCTTTTTTTCAGCCCAGGCAGGAGGACGGGGAATTCCCCGAGCAGTGCTACCGGCGCCTCGTGGACGACTACTTTGGCGCCATGGCGCCTGGCATTGTGCTGAAGGGCACCGAGAGGCAGAGCGACGAGAGGATCTGGGCCTCCCAGATGGGGTCGGAGCAGATGGGGTCGGAGGATCGCGCCGCATCGCTGATACATCGGCGATGCGGTTCGATGTGGCGCCCGATTTTCTCAATGCCGACGTCGCCGATTCATCCCCGATGCTGCCGACACATCGCCGATGCATCGCCGATGCGTCGCCAATGTATCGGCGATGTATCGGCGATGGGGCGCGATCCTCCGACCCCATCTGCTCGGACCCCAGCTGGGGGGCCGCTGGAGGACGAATGATGATCTCGGAGTGTCCACCAAGCTCATCAAGGTCCCTCTCCCGTCCCCCTTTTCTTTCTTTGTTCCTTTGCCCCCTCCTTGCCGTGATCCTTGGAGCGCGTGCGGCTCTTGGGCTCCCGTTCGGCCTTTGAAGCTCTGCCTGTCCGGATCTTCGGGCTCGGTGGGATGCCGTCGTTGTTCGTCAAGGTCGGGGAGGGAGATCTGCGGCGTGCCCATCGGCAGACGGCAGAGGGCAGGGGGGGCGTGCCTTCCCAGGAGGCTCGGAAGGCCGCCGGCCTTTTGAGCCTCCTCCTCCATCCTTCCTCTTCCTCCCTCCTCCTCCGTCGTCGTCCTCCTCCGTAGTCCTCCTCCTCCTTCTCCTCCCTCCTCCTCCTCCTCCTCCTTTTCCTCCTCCTCCTTCTCCTCCTCCTCCTCTCTCCTCCTCGCTCCTCCTCCTCCTCGCTTCTCTTCCTCCTCCTCCTCTCTCCTCCTCCTCGCTTCTCCTCCTCCTCCTCCTCCTCCTCCTCCCCCTCCTCCTCCGATGCCACAGAGGGCTTCTCAGAAAGCCAGGGGGCGTCTGAGAAGCCTGGCCGCCTTTGAGACGGTCTTGCCCCTCTCACTCTTCCCCTCGGCGCGCCGCCGAGGAGAGGGCGAAGAGGAGGAGGAGGGGGGGGGAGGAGGATGACGAGGAGGTGGAGGGGGAGGAGTGAGAGGAGGAGGGTGGATAAGGAGGATCAGAAGGAAGTGGATCAGGAGGAGGAGGAGGAGGAGGAGGAGGAGGAGGAGGAGGAGGGGGAGGGCTGTCAGTGCTGTCGACTGGAGCACTACCAATATCACTATTGTTGTTACTCGCGCAATGATGTCTCTTACGTCTCATCATTCGTATTGCGTGTAGTCGTAGGCGTAGCCGTAGTCGTGTTCGGAGTACTTTTAAGCATAGTGCTACAAGTCGTCGTAATTGTACCCGTACCAGCAAGGAGGAGGATGACCTTGGTGCCGGCAGTAGGTGCATCAACATCGTGCGTGTTCCGCCCTCTTGTATTACCTAACAGCGAAGACTGATAGGCTTCTAGTGGGGTCAAAAGAGAGCATCTTGACGCCCCAGGGGGGTCCGGGCAGGATCCGGGGAGAAGCCGCGGAAGTCGATTTAAGCAAACAGTTACACACTTCGTGGTCTTCGAGGTCCCAGAACTCCATTCCTGGGCATGATTTTGAATGCCCGGAGCCAACTGTAGGCCACTTCGTGGTCTTCGAATTCCCAGAACTCCATTCCCCGGCCACATTTGAATGCCCGGAGCCAACTGTAGGCCACTTCGTGGTCTTCGAGTTCCCAGAACTCCATTCCTGGGCATGATTTTGAATGCCCGGAGCCAACTGTAGGCCACTTCGTGGTCTTCGAGTTACTAGACCTCCATTCCTGGGCATGATTTTGAATGCCCGGAGCCAACTGTAGGCCACTTCGTGTTCTTCGGTTTCCCAGAATTCCATTCCCGGGCCTCATTTTGAATGCTGAGGCAGGCTGATGCTGAGGCAGAGGCAGGCTGAGGCTGAGGCAGGCTGAGGCAGGCTGAGGCCGAGGCTGAAGGCAGACTGAGGCTGAGGCTGATGAGGCTGAGGCTGAGCAGCTGAGGCTGAGGCAGGCTGAGGCTGAGGCTGAGGCAGGCTGATGCTGAGGCAGGCTGAGGCTGAGGCTGAGGCTGATGCAGGCTGAGGCTGAGGCAGGCTGAGGCTGAGGCTGAGGCTGAGGCTGAGGCTGATGCTGAGGCAGGCTGAGGCTGAGGCTGAGGCTGAGGCTGCAGGCCACTGCGACTGTCATCGCGAATGCGACTACGACTGCGAGAACAGCAGAATTCTACAACTGGATTCTCATCTGAATCTTAAGGGGAATGCTTCCAGATATGCTCCTACACATCGCTGTTAGGTTGCTTTACCGGGATATGTTTTTCCTCCAGGAGTCTCCGCTCTGCCTTCCCAACGTCTCTCTCCCTTCCCTCCTCCCTTCTTTACCACTTCCTCTCCTCCGCCTCCTCCTCCTCTTCTCCGTCCCTCTCCTTTATGTCATCCCCCTTCTCTTCCCTACGTGCGCTCCTTCTTCCCCTTCATCATCCTTTGGCTCTTCTCCTCCCCTTTCCCTCGTGTCCACTCTCTCCTTCTCCTCCCTCCCCCCTCCTTCCCCTCCCCCTCCCCTCTGCAATGACGCCACGTGCGTCCGAGTCTCCGCTCTCCCATGATACTGTTCTGGTGTGCCGCCGCCTCTCCCGCACACTGTTTTCTTACGCGCAGGATTCCACGAATCACTTGGAACGTTCCCGGTGCTTCAGGAGCGGTGCTCCCGCTGCAGCGCTGGTCACATGCCCCAGCTGGGGCAGCGCTTCCGACCTTCGGGATGATGTTATCGCCGCAGCGTTGGTCGCATCCGTGCACTGGCTGCTCCCCGCTGCAGTGTGGGCGGCACTTCCGAGTGGCACGGTGCGCGCAAGGGCTCGCCTCTTGCAGGCAGGCCTGAGCGCCGCTCCGGGCTCTTGCTCGTTTCCTCCGCGCCTCCGTTCCCCGCTGCCTCTTCCTCCTTCTCCTCGCCCCTCTCCCCGTCTGCCCGCGTCCGAAGTCCGAGACCACTGCAGGCTCTGCCCGTCGTCGCTGCAGATCTTCTTCGCGATGCCATTCCCCTCGGCTCTCCTCGTCGTCCTCCCTCCAAACATATGGCCCGTGGTAACGAAAGGCCAGGGGTATTCCCCTCCGACGGAATCGCGCTCTCGCCGCGGCGCTGGCCGCATTCCTGGAAATCGGCACGGGCCATCCCGACGCCTGGGCTTTTTTTTACAGCGCAGTCACAAGCTCTGGCTCAGCGTGTCGCTCCGCCGTTTTTGGCCCACCTCGCTGCTTGTCGACGTGCTATCCACTTCCCAGTCCTCAGGCTTGACCGTCCCGAGCCTTTCCCGACCTCCCGCCCCGCGGGGCGGAGAGATACGCTATCCGCTCGCAAGGCATAGCGTGTCGCCGGGGCCGTCGCCGCGACACGCTAAGGACCTGATACTTCTGTGCCTCACAGTGTCGTGCCAACGCTTTGGTGTGCGCGCACGCCGCTTGCAATGGCTGTTTTCGGTTCGGTCGCTTGCCTTGGCGCCCGCCATGCTGAGTTCGGTCCCTGATCTCCGAGGTCTTCTTCGACACATGTGCCCATATCTTTCCACGTTGTGTGCGGCACACGAGTTTTTCAAACAGACGGGATGGAGGGCCAGCGTGTCAGACGTTCCACCATCGTGCCCATCTTGCCCCCGTTATCCTCTTGCTCCTCTCCTACTGCATCTCCCCGCTTCCTCTTCTTCTCGTTATTCCCGCTCTTTCCCTCCGCGCTCCCCTGCACCTTCCCTCCCTCATGCCCGTTCCTCTCCTTCGTGTCTTCTTTCTCTCCCTCGCTTGGTGCCGCTCCTTTTTCGCCTCCTCCCTCCCCCATCCCTCCTCCTCCCTCCTCCTTCCTGCCTTTTCCCACGGCCCCTCCCTCCCTCCCTCTTCCTTCCTCCTCGTCATCGTCTTCTTCCTTTTCTTTTTCTTTCCCTTATTTGTTCTACTTCGTCTTGTTTTTCTTCTTCTGTGTTTGTCGTATTATTCTTCTTTCTCTCATCCTCCTCGACCTCCTACCCCTTTTCCTCCGCCTCCTCCCCCCTCTCCTCATCCTCTTGCCAGGTCGTGTTCAAAGCCCGCTGGGAGCCGCCCCCCACCGTGGCGGAGGGGGCCCTCGGCAGGAGGGGTTCGGTCACGTCCGAGCTTTCGCCCCCCGTGCTCCTGGGGACGGCGGGGGCTCAGAAGGACCTGCTGCAGACCAACGAGGCGCAGGGGTTTCTGATGATGATGCTGCCGATGGTGATGATGGTGATGCTGGTGGGAGTGGTGGTGATGGTGATGATGATGCTGATAATGCTGGTCATGCTGTTGATGATGATGATGATGATGGTGGTGGTGGTGGTGGTGATGATGATGCTGATGCTGATGACGATGCCGATGTTGAGGTTGCTGCTGCTGCTGATGGTGGTGGTGGTGACGGGAATGATGATGCAGATGATGCGATGTTGTGGTTGGTCATGCTAATAGTGCTGTTGCTGCTGACTGTGATGATGCTGATGGTGCTGATGACACTGCCGAATCTGATGATGAGGGGGATAATGATGATGATGCAGCTGGTGACGATGATGATGATGATGATGATGATGATAGTGATGATAATGCTGATGCTGCTGATGATGCTGCTGATGATGATGGTGGCGGTGGTGGTGATGATGATGCTGATGATGATGATGGTGATGATGACGATGACTATGCTGAGGGTGATTATGATATCGATGCTGATGATGACGCTTCTGATGATTAGGAAGAGGGTGCAGATGCGGATGCGGATGATGATGGTGACCATGGTGTCACTTCTACCGATGATGATCATGATGCTGGTGACGCTGCTGCTGCTGCTCATGATGACGGCTGTGATACTACTCATGAGTATGGTGTTGGTGACGATGGCGGTGGTGGTGGTGGTGGTGGCAATGGTGGTAGTGTTGGTGATAATGATGAGGACGACGCCGTGATGCTGCTGATGATGGTGGTGCTTGTGAGTGGGTGGTGGTGGGTAGTGGTGATGATGATGACGGTGTGATTATGATGGTGATGATTCTGTCCTCGTCCTCCTTCCTCCATTCTTCTCCCCTCCCTTTCTTCCTCCTGCTTCCCTCCTCCTTCCTCCCTCGCTCTTGCCTCCCTCATCCCTGCTCCCTCGCCCCTCCAGCCGCCTGCTTCCCGCCTCCCTCCTGCGCGGGCTCCTCCCTCCTCCCCCCCCCCTGCCTCCCTCCTGCCCTCCCACGCTCCTCCTTGATCCGTGGAAGTCGATTAATGGAGAGAAAGCATGCTGCCAAATAATTTCCACATGTCCAAAGGATGTTTCCAACATGTTTAAAACATTAAAAACATTCTTGAAACATGTTTAGAACGTGTCTTACACATTTTAAACACATGTTAAACACATGGTTAATTCAATGATAGGACTGTTAGAGTGTCCATTGTCATGGCATCCACAATCCTTGACTCCCACGTAATCCGCAAGTCTCCTCAAGCCCGTCCGCGTGCATTTGCGTGGGGCCCAAGAGCTCCACGCGTGCGGAAACCATGCCACTCTGAAGCGCGCAGTGCCCAACGGCGTCGTCATCGCCTTTGCAGTGCCCGTTCCGTCCAGCGTGCTCTGCACTGCTGTCGCGGGCTGCAGTTTGTTCCCCGCGGGATTTAGAGTGAGGGTTATCAGCGTGTGCACGTGGTCACGCCGACGCACTAATCTGTGCAGTCTGATCTTGGCAGCAACTGAGCGATATGCACGGAAGTCCGCTAATCACATCCTGGCACGGCAGGCTCGTGTCGTGTCGACGCGGCGAGGATCCCGCCGCGGGCTTTTAAGGTTGGAACTCCGCCAGTGGGCCAGAGTCGGCCAATATGAAACAATCGGGCGATCGGAACACCGCCGATCGTTCAAGGATGAGCGATCCTCACAGTGCCAGGAACCATCGCCGAGATTGTCACGACACCAACCTGTCGTATCACCTGCGGCCTGATGTCGAGCATCTCTACACTACCAGCCTGGCGGTGCCGCAGCCCGAGGATGTCCAGCACGGCAGCGCCGCCATCTGCTTCTCTCCTGCCTATCTCCTTGTTCTCCATTCTGCTGTCCTTCCTCCTCCTCCTCCTCCTCCTCCTCATCCTCCGTTGCGTCCCTTGTGAGCTTGTGTAAGTTGCTTGCAGAGCTATCGGGGCTGCCTGCAAGACGCGTTTGCCCTTTTCTCCCTTCTCCGTTCCGCTCCTCTGCCTCCTCCTCCATGGCTGGTGCTTCGCGCGGTTGAGCCCCCCCTCCTTTCTCCCTCCTCCATCCTCCTTCCTCCTCCTTCCTCCTTCCTCCTCCTCCTCTTCCCTCTTCCTCCTCTTCCTCCTTCTTCCTCCTCCTTCCCCTCCTCTTCCTCCTCCTCGTCCTCCTCCTCTGGCGATTCCCGTCAGCACTGCACTTGGTCTGTGGACCAACATGTCACATGTCCAGCACGGCAGCAGCCATAGCCACGAGTGCAGCGGCCCCGCTGGTCCAGGAGCTGGCATCAGGCCACCCACCTCCCTCCTCCCTCCGCCCTCCACCCTCACCTCCCTCCTCCCTCCTTCCTCCTCCCTCCTCCCTCCTCCCTCCTCCCTTTTCCTCCTCCTCCTCCTGCTCCTCCTCCTCCTCCTCCTCCGCCTCCTCCTCCTCCTCGCTCCTCCTCCCCGCTCCTCCTTGCTCCTCCTCGCTCCTCCGAGAGGCTGCCAGACTTCCTGGCAGGCTCCGCAGCTCCAGAGTGGTGCCCCTGCAGGCAGCTCCTCCAGGGCGCGAGGACCTTCCCCAAGAGCAGGCCCTGGGGCCCCCATGAGATCCGACGCCGCGAAGCACCTGCAGCACCGCGAAGAATTACGACCGGAGCCGGATCGATCTGTGTCGGGGGTGGATGAACCTCCTACCCTGACACGTCGATTAGCGAATTGGCCGTTTTCGGTTCGCGAGGGGGCGTCGCGGCCGTCATTTTTTGCGGGTCCAGGTCTGTCGGTTTCGGTCCCAGGCCACCTGCAGCACCGCGAAGAATTACGACCGGAGCCGGATCGATCTGTGTCGGGGGTGGATGAACCTCCTACCCTGACACGTCGATTAGCGAATTGGCCGTTTTCGGTTCGCGAGGGGGCGTCGCGGCCGTCATTTTTTGCGGGTCCAGGTCTGTCGGTTTCGGTCCCAGGCCGTTTTCACGAAAGGGTGGTCTGCTAAAGGGAGGCGTGTCCACCGCCGACCGTGAGGGTCCCGGGGGCCCGAATACGGGGCGGGAGCGCTCGTGGCGAGGGAGCCGCGGCGCCGGGATCTCGGGGGCCGCGCGCGAGCCCGGGGGGGCGCCGTCCAAGGGCTTCGCGGGTGGCCCCCGAAGCCGGCACGGCCGCCACATCGGCGGGGCCCCCCCGCATGCTCGGACGCGGAGTGCGCGTCGCCCCCGCCCCCGCCCCCCTCCCCAGGGGCGACGCGCGCGCCAAGGAATCCTCCAGTACGATTACGTCGGGCCCGCCCCTCTGCAGGAGGAGCATTCAAACTCAGTTTAACAATGGTCAGGGGACTTTTTTGTTTTCTGTTTACTTATTTTTGTGAAAAGTATGTTTTGACAGTTTTGGAGCATTTTTTTTGCGTATTCTCTGTTTTTCGTCGAAGATCCCCCCTTATGGGGGGGACGGGCCCGCCTTAGTAGTACTTAGCTCGGTGGCGGGCGGCCGTCTGCCCACCCCGCTCGGGAAGCGGATGCAGCGCAAGATGGTTGCACATTCTATGCTCGGGTCGGGCGCAGGCGTCCCATCGGGGGCGGAAAAGAGGGGGGGACGACTAGGGGGGGGTGGATATCATGGCGGGGGCCATGATATATTTCCTCAGATTTCATGGCGCCTCTTCTTATTTCATTACGCCCCGGGCCCCCCCGCTGGGCCGCGCACATGCCGCCGGTCATGATCTGCCCCCCCCCCTCTTGGGCACCCCCCTCTTGGCCGCTCCCGATCCCACGGGGGGACGCGCAGTTCGAAGGAGCGTGTCCGGAGAGCCCACGCCGCCCTCATGATTTGTGGACGTCGACCAGTGGAGAGGAAGCATGCTGCCAAGTAATTTCCAGATGTGCAACAGATGTTTCAAACATATTGTAAGTATGTAAAAACATGTTTGAAACATGTTTAGAAGATGCTTTACACATGTTTAACACATCTTTAATTCTTCACGCTTCGCGTATCCCCACCAGCCCATCTCACAACAGCAACTCTTGCGAAGCATGCCGACAGTCGTGTTTTTCAGGCGTGTGTCCGCTTGGCCCCGCATATCTCCCCTGTTACTCCTTCCTCCCGCCTCCTTGTACATCCTCCTTGTGGGGGAGCGGGAGAAGGACGAGGCGGAGGAGGAGGGAGAGAAAGCGCTCCTCGTGGTTTGAGTCGTTTGGGGTTTCTCGTCCTGGTGTGAGTCGTTCGGGCCCTTCTTCCTGGTGTGAGTCGTTCGGGCTCTTCGTGGTGTGAGTCGTTCGGGCTCTTCGTCCTGGTGTGAGTCGTTCGGGCTTCTCGTGGTGTGAGTTGTTCGGGCCCCTCGTCCTGGTGTGAGTCGTTCGGGCCCCTCCTCCTGGTGTGACTCGTTCGGGCTCCTCGTGGTGTGAGTCGTTCGGGGCCCTCGTCGTGGTGTGAGTCGTTCGGGCTCCTCGTGGTGTGAGTCGTTCGGGCGCCTCGTCCTGGTGTGAGTCGTTCGGGCCCCTCCTTCTGGTGTGAGTCGTTCGGGCTCTTCGTGGTGTGAGTCGTTCGGGCCCCTCGTCCTGGTGTGAGTCGTTCGGGCTCCTCGTGGCGTGAGGCGTTCGGGCACCTCGTCCCCTTTTGGGGCGTCTTGGGGGCCTCTTGGCGGCCCCAGGGGCTTCTAGGAGCGTCTTGGGTGCCTTGGGGGAGCCTCTTCGGGCCTCTTGGGAGCCTCTTGGAGGCCGTTTGGGGCGTCTTGGGGGCCTCTTGGCGGCCCCAGGGGCTTCCAGGAGCGTCTTGGGTGCCTCGGGGGAGCCTCTTGGGGCCTCTTGGGGGCCTCTTGGGGGCATCTTGGGGGCCTCTTGGAGGCCTCTTGGGGGCCTCCTGGGGGCCTCTTGGGGCCATCTTGGGGCCTCTTGGTGTCTCCTGGGCGCTTCTTGGGGCCATCTTGGAGGGAATCGATCAAAGAAGAGGGGAGCTTGAATGAGCGCTGCCCCCTCAGAAGGGCAAAATGAGCCCAAAACCTTCGTAAAATCAATGATTCTGGC